ACAAACATCACTTCACTAATGTGGGGCCCCTGGGGCCTCAGTGGGCCCTGGGGCCCAAAATTAGTGACGTGATGGTTTTCGGGCCTCGAAGATAAGGTCGGGCCCCATGCTGCCCGTGCTCGATTTCCACACCTCGCCGGGAAGCAGGAGCGACCCATGGCCACGGGCGTCGTGCCACAGAGAAATCTCCCGGCCGACGCTCGCCGCCGCCCGGAGGACGAGATCGAACGCGGGGGGGGGGCATGTGAAAGTACAGTCGGGGCGTTGACTTAAGGAACCCTAAATTAAGGAACGAGGCTCCCTTTCCCATAAGATCTGCTTCTATTTCCCATGGAATACCTCCGGAAAACCTGTGGCAAGCTGTGAAACGACCGAGGAACACCGAGCCCCTCCCCAACGAGAAGGCTTCCTTCTTCAGGGCCCCGACTGCACGTCCGCGGCTGAGGGCGCCGAGGCCTCAGCACCCGGCCCCTGGGACGCGGCCGTGAGCTGGCACGGTCGGCAGCAGGGGTGCGCAGGCCGCAGCGCCCGAGCCCGGGGCCGCGGACAACATGGAGCACGCCACCCTTGCGCTACTGCAGATTTCGTAATAAAGGGAGGGGGTCTCATTTCGGGGGGGGGTCTCCTCCAGGCTATCTTGGAGGGCCTGGGGGGGTCTGGGGACGATGTTTTGGAGGGTTCTCCCACGGGGGGGGTGTCTGAAATGGCTTGTCTTGGAGGGTCCAGACCCCCTCCCTTTTATTACGAAATCTGGAGTACCTGTCGCCAGCGTCTCCCCGCGCTATAGAGGCGGTCTTGAAGGCCAGGCGGGGCCGTCCTGGCTCGGAGCCTGGCTTGCACGCAGGCAGCGCCAATTCTCCTGGTCCCTCGCCCTCTGGTTCTCCGGAGACAATCGTGGGCCGTCTTGGGGTCCATGCTGGGGGGTGTTAGGCCGTCTGGGCTCCCTTGGGGGTCCTCCCAGGGCTCTCTTGTGGCGAATTGGAGCCTCTTGGGGGCCTCCTGGGAGCCCTCAGAAGCCTTTTGGGGGTCACGGGCCCCTCTTGGTTCGGGGATGGATAGAACCCCCTTTAGTAAAACGTGGTTTGGTCAAGACGACCTCGGGCCCAAACCTGGCGGGCGCAAGCATGGAAAATGACGGTCGCGGCGCCCTCTCGAAAACCGAAAACGGACAATTCACGAATCGACGTGTCAGAGTGGGGGTTCTGTCCATCCCCGATTGGTCGCTCTGGAAGCCTCGTTCGGGTCTTCTGGGGGCCGTCTTCGCGACGTCTGGGAGCCTCCTTCTCCTTGGGGCTCTCTGGAGCCGTCTTGGCGGCCTCTTGGGCTATCATGGGATCTTCTTGGGCTGTCTTGGGGCCCTCCTGAGGGCCTCCTGGGCCACCTGGGACAACTGTGGAACACCCCTGTGGCTGTCGTGAGCGGTCGGGAATCCAAAAAGGCGATCAATCTCAAATGCTTAAAAAACCCACGGAACTTCGACTTTTACGTCTTGAGGCTCTTTCAGGAGCCCTCTGGGAGCGCTTTTGGAGCGTATTGGGATCTTCTTCGGCCTCTTGGGGGCCTCCAGGGAGCTGTCAGAGGAATGCTTGCCACCCCTTGGTGCATCTTGGGGCCCTCTTGGCGTCCCTTGGGGCCTCTCGCTTTTTGTTTTGTTTTGTTTTGTTGTTCTTCGTTCTTCTTTCCTTTCTCAGGAGTGCCTGAGAGCCCCGTGGGGCCATGCACTACTTCCAAGACCGCTCCAGCATGGCCCCATGAGGAAGAGGAGGAAGAGGAGGAGGAGGAGGAGGAGGAGGAGGAGGAGGAGGAGGAGGAGGAGGAGGAGAGGAGGAGGAAGGAGGAGGACGAGGACGAGGACGAGGAGGAGGAGGAGGAGGAGCAGGAGGAGGAGGAGGAGGAGGAAAAGGGAGGTGGAGGAGGAGAGGGAGAGGGAGGAGGAGGAGGAGGAGGAGGAGGAGGAGGAGGAGGAGGAGGAGGAGGAGGAGGAGGAGGAGGAGGAGGAGGAGGAGGAGGAGGAGGGGGGCCATGCTGGAGCGGTCTTGGGCCCTCGTGCAGGCCGGCCGCGCCACCCGGGAGCGTCCTGGACGCCATCGGGGCCTCGCGGGGCCCTTCTCGGGCCCGCTGCGGGAGCTGCTCGGGCGGGGCTCCAGCACTCGTCTTCGGAGGCTCCCAGCGCTCGCTGGGACTGGGATCCCTGCGGGGGGCGCCCCACTCGGTCCCCGGACACGTCTCGCACGCAGGGGGTCCTGCATTGTCAAGGAGAAGAAGGCGTTTGGTTCTAACTTTACCTCCCGCATCTCCCTAAGCAGCCACAGGGAGCGCTGCCACTGCCCACCCTTCTCACACGCGCTGATTCCAGCGTTGAAAGTGGCGACGTCTAACTCTAACTCCACTTCGCGTGCTTCGCGGAATAATGACAGAGCTCTCGGCCACTGCGTAGATTTTTCGCACGCGCTAATCCCCGAGTTGTAACTAACTATGTTCGGGTTTATCTCCAGCTCTCTCATCCCCCGAAGCAGCGCCAATGCCTGCTGCCAGTGTCCACCGTCCGCGCACGCGCTGATAGCAGCACTGTGGCTGATGACATTTGGTTCCAACCTCGCGATCCCAATTTCGAAGAGCAGCGACAGAGCCTGCTGCCATTGCCCCGCTTTCTCACATGCGCTAACACCAGCACTGAAGCTGACGACATCTGGATCCACAGACGCATATCCCATCCCGCTAAACAGCAACGATAACGCCTGCTGCCACTGCCCACTCTTCTCGCACGCGCTGATCCCAGCATTGTAGCTGACTGTGTGTACCCGTGGAGCCCATCCGCAGGTGCCCTGGCAAGGGAACGCTGCGGGGCCATCTCCGGACCATCTTGGGTCGTCTTGGGCGCCTCTTGGGTCGTCTCGGGGCTTTCCCCGAGCGTCTTGCAGCTCTCCCTGGCCGTCTTGCAGCCTTGCAGGAGGTTCTGGGAGCTTCCGGAGGCCTCGACAATTGCCCGAAGAGGGGCCCGAAGACGGGCCCAACAGGGCCCTCAGAAAGCACCCGACGGATACCACAGCAGGGGGGTGCGTTGTAGTATCTGTTGGGGGGCCTCTTCGGGCTTTCTGGGAGCACTCTTGGGGCCGTCATGTGATGCACCTGGGGCTCTATAGTGGGCCATCTCTGGACCCTCCTGGGTCGTCCTGGGCGCCTCTTGGGCCGTCTTGGAGCTCCCTTGGGCCGTCTTGGGACGTCTTGGGGCTCTCTCGAGCCACCTTGGGTTTCTCTTGGGAAGCCTCTTGGGCCGACTTGGGGCGATCGATCTTGGGGGCTGCTGTCCGTCGTGGACGCTGCAAGGGCCCAAAAGTCGTGCATGCTAGACATGTTGGAATAACCTGCAGAACACCTTCGATTGTTGCACCAGGAGGCCCTGCTGGGAGTGCTGTTGGAGCGCTCTGGGGGCCCTTGTGGAACGCTTTTCGGCCGTCTGGAGGCCGTCTTGGGCCAGCTTGGGGCCCTCTGAGGCCGTCGGGACGGCATCTTGGGTTCTCTTGAGGCCATCCTCGGCCGTCTTGGAGGCACCTTCGGCGAACCCGGAGGCCTCTGAGACTCGCCTGGGCCTCCCCTCCCGGCGGGCCCTGCCGGCCAGCCCCCCCCGGGAGCTGCCACCGGAGCAGCGCGTCACGCGCTGCCCCCGGCACCGTGGGAGGGGCCACAGTGGAGGCCAGTCCACGAGAAGCCCTCCACAAGCAACCCGACCCTGCGGCCCAAGGACGTCCGCGGACTCTTCGTGCGGGCGCGTCACGCGTTCCCCACCGCAGAACGAGCGAGACCCGAGAAGCCGAGGGCACCCTGGAGGCAGGCAGGGTGTTGCTTGGCATGGGCCCCCCCCCCACTGTGGCGTGCACCCCCTGGCCTGCCGGCCACGAGCCTCCGCCCGAGATGGCACGTTTGGGCCCAGGCAGAGGTGCTGCCCGGCCTTCGCGCCTGCGTCGTGCTGCCGCCGCGTGCCGCGGGCGGCTGCTCTGCTGCTGCCGCCCGAGGCTGCAGGCTGCTGCTTCCTGGCACGCCCGCCAGCCGGCGCAGCCTGCACCTCGCGAGCGGACCGCAGGGCGACGAGAGAGAGCGAGGAGTCAGGGTCGAGGGGGAGGTGGGGGAAGCGCGGAGCGATCAGCAAGGAGCAAGGAGCGAGAAGGGAGGAGCGACGTCCGAGTAGAGAAAGAGAGAGAGAGAGAGAGAGGTAAGGAGCGATGAGACAGAGCCGAAGGTAAGGGGGGGAGGCAGACGCCAGTAGCCACGAGGGAGAAGCGAGAGGCCAAGAGAGAACTGGTACAAGAGAGGAGGAGGACTGAGCAAAGAGGAACCAGGAGCTCGGAGAGAGAGAGGCGAGGAGCGAGGAGAGAGGCAAGGAGCGAGGCGCGTGGAGCGAGAACGGAGACACGCGAATGTTTCCACGGCCTCGGAGCGCGTGTGGACGAACATCTGGTCTCCTCTTGGGTCGCTCATGGGGCTCTCTTGGGTGGCCGGCGCGGCCGGAGCTTTCTAAGGGATCTTCCATCAGAAGCCTCTTGGATCCTGGGGCTTCTGGGGGCCCTCTTGGGGGCCTGCAGGCGGCCTCGGTGGTCATCTTGCGGCGGAGGGCGCGGACTGTCAGTTCGAGTGACCTCTTGGGCTCTCTTGCGGGCTCTGTTGGGCCTCTTAGGCTTCCTTCAAGCTTTCTTGGGCCATGTGGGGCCCTGAGGGGGCCACATTGGACACTCTTGGGCCCTGTTGGAAGCCTGCAAGGGCCAGCCGCTGAAAAGGTCACGGAGCGTGCTGAGGCGAACATTGCAATATGGATGACGTCTGGCTTCAATTGTGCTGCCTCCATTCCGCTGATTAGCGACATCGCTCGCTGCCACTGCCCACCGGCCTCGCACGCACTGATCCCAACGCTGTAACCGATGACATCCAACTCCACCGTCACTTGCCAAAACTCGCTCAACAACAACATTGCCTGCTGCCACTGATCGCATGTCCGGCATGCGCTAATTACAGCACTGTAGCTGATTACGGTTGGTTCCAGTTCGTTCAGGCAAAGTTCGCGGAACAAAAACAAAGCCGTCTGCCACCGCTCACCTTTTTCGCACGCGCTGATTCCTGAGTTGTAGCTGGGCGTGTCTGGCTCAAGTCTCATTCCTCTCATTTCGTTGAGCAGCGACAGCGCCTGCTGCCATTGCCCTCCTCTCTCGCACGCGCTGATTCCAGCTGCGTAGCTAAACGTGCTCGCTTCCAACGAGGCCTCTTTCATTTCACGGAACAGCAGCGACAACGCCTGCTCCCACTGCTCACCTTTGGCGCACGCGCTGGCCACCGAGTTGTAGCTGACGGTATCTTGCTCAATGGCCAGTAGTGACATATCGCTGAGGAGCGACCGCGTGAGATGCCATTGCCCCCCTCTCCCGCAAGTGCCGATCACGATGTTGTAAAGGACGGTCTCGATCTGAGCACTTACCTCCAACGCATCTCGGAGCAATTGCAAGGCTGCCCTCCACCGCTGTGTTTTTCCATGCTCCCTGATGCCAGCTGCAAAAGAGGCGGCACTTGATTGAACCCCAGCCCCCCCAGATATCTGCAGCGTGCTGTAATTGATTCTGGCTACTTTGAGCAGCGTTCTGCCAAATGTGCTGTTGCACCGGCGGGAGAGCGGCGTGATCTTGGGCTGACCCAAGCGACGACTTGAACCACACTTGCTGCGTAGCGTCAAGGGGATGACTGGCGTGCTGGTGGGCTGGTCGGCCTGATGTCTCGCGAAGTCGCCCGTCATCCGCACAGTTTGTCCGTCGGCGGCGAGGCAGAGTGGGCTGCACCAGCGCTGGAGCAAACACGGGGGCACCGAGGAGCAAAAGTTTGGACGCCCGAAATGGGTACGGAAATAATGGGTACAGTGCCCAACAACAAATGTTGTCCCAAACCAACAGCGGCCGCTGTTGGGCAAGCGGCCTTCTGTCTCAAGTGGACACGGGCCGTGGCGGCGCGGACAGCGAGTCCTGTTCAGAATGAGCAGGAACTGCTGTTGGGCATCGTACCCATTCTTTCCGTACCCATCTCGGGCGTCCAGAGAAGTGGCCAGCGCGCAGGAGCGGGGAGAGGACAGACAGGGCGGCCGCGGAGGGGGGGGGGGGGAAGCAGAGGCCACCCGGAGGCGGAAGCACTCTCGCCCCTGAGTGGCCCATCCTCCGCACGGTCAGGCCGGCAGTCTTGGGCTCCGACCCGGCCATGCAGATCGGCCGGCGGCGGTCCCACGGGGCCCCCAAAGCAGCCCAAGAAGGCTCCGAGAAGGCCCAAGAGCGCTCCAAAACGCCCAGGATGGCCCCAAGACGGCCCACCATACTCCCCACGACGCCCCAAGAGAGCACCAGGAGGACCCCCAAGAAGGCCCTAGGACATACAATTCAAAGTGTCCCTGGGGGTTCCAATCTGTTCTTCAGAAGCCTAAGCTTTTCGGACTTCCGGCGCTCCAGGAGGGCCCAAGAGGCGCTTCAGATTGCTCCAAGACGTCCCAAGAAGCCCTCAACAGGGCCCCACGAAGGCCCAAGATGGCCCCAAGACGGCCGAAGATGCCCCCAGGACTGCCCCAAAAAGGGCCCCGAGTCTCCCCCCCACACCATCCCGAATAGTGGCCGAGCCGTGCACAGTGGCCGGCGGCTGTCCCACGAGGCACCCAAACGGCCCAAGAAGGCTCCGGCACGGCTCAAGAGCCCTTCAAACGCCCAAGATGGCCTCAAGACGGCCCAAAATGCTTCGAAAATGTCCCAGGAATGCCCAAGAGGACCCCCAAGACGCAAGATTCATGCATTTGTTTTGAATACCCTTAGCTTCGGCATTCTCGCCTTTTCTGGCCTTCAGCTCTCGAAGGCGGCCCAAGGTGGGCCCAAGATTCCTCCGAGGCAGCCCATTAAGCCCCAAAGCAAGCCCCACGACGGCCCAAAAAGTTCCCAAGACGGCTCACACCCCAAGATTATGTTGCATCCTCGGGGGACCTTGTCTGTCCCGTCGCGGCCTTATCCGCGTCGAATCCGTGTCAAATCCACGTCGGCCTCTTCGGATCCGTGTCGAATCCGTGTCGAATCCGCGTAGAATCCACGCCAAATCCGAGTCGAGTCCGCATCGAGCCCGCGTCGGGCAGAAGATAAGACACCAATTTGGAGGACAGACGAGGTCCCCCGAGGATGCAACGTAACCAAGACGGCCCCAGATGGCCCCAATGGACCCCCCAAAGTTCCAAAGAAGCTCTCCATCATCTTCCACAGCCGTGCCCTTCGTCAGAACATCGCCCGTCGCAGCCGCGGCCCCCCGATCTGCTTCACCACGCGGCCTCGCGCGCCCTCGAACTACGCTTCCCTGAGGACTTTTTATATATGTATTTAAATAGAAAAAGTAAAAACAAAAACAAAGCAAAGGCACTCACCAGCTTCTTCCCCCACGCCGATACACCACGACATCCGCTTCCCCTCATGGGGGCTATGAGCGCTCCCCAAGATGAGCCGCTGCCACCCACTGGCAGTGCGCACGGACACGGCCTCGTATCGCTCTGAAGTTGTTTCGCGGCAGGGCTCGAAATGTCTGAGGACTGCCGCATTTTGAGCAGAATCGGTTCGCAACCGAGTTCCTCAGACATCGATCCTAGCTGCGACGCGGGCAGAACACTTTCACCCTCTCCACCTCGCGTCCTCTCCAGCGCAAGTCCCAGAGCACGACGCCTTTCCGCCCACCGCGGAACATGCTTGTAACCAGGCGCCTGGCACGAATCGCGTCATTCACACACATTTATACACAGGC